GGATGCATACAACATACCTGCTAAGAATCCAAGCACTGGAATCAGAGAAACCCTAGACAGCCTCTAACTCTGCTACCTACTAGATGTGAGCTTGGGCAAGTTACTTAAGATCATCCAGTATGTTTCCTAATCTACTATATGAAGATAAAGATAGCAACAATAGAAACTGAGGACTACTTGTAGGGGAGGTAAGGAGGAGGGCTTAAGGGTTGAAAAACTATTAAGTACCATGCTCAGTACCTGGCTGATGGGATCACTGGTAACTAAAATCTCAATATCATTCAAAAAACCCAGGTAATGAACCTGCCACATGAATCTAAAATAAAAGTTGGAATCAAAAATGAATCCAAAAGAAAAGTTGGAAGGAAAAAAAACAGTAGCTATCTAACACGATTAGTCTCAGAATCAAAAACAGTGATGTATAATATAAAAAGCACTTAGCACAATACTAACACATAGGAATAGTTTAATCAAGGTGCCTATTATTACCTAGTCTGCGTTCAAAACAGTCAGACCTACATCTTACTCTTTTGTTTAATTCTTTCCCACTTCTCTTTCGTGTTATTCTGCTTGTGCTTAATAATTATTTAGTTAATAAAACCTCATCAATTCAGAAGTAAATTCCTAGGTAGATCTTAACAAGGTAAGGTCCAAACTCTAGTAAATGTCAAAAAATGGCTTACTATCCATACTATTAGCAGTTAGTTTTACTATTAGCTTAGCCGATATATACATTAACTATCATATTACATAAATGCAGATCTCCGACAATCATTGTGAAAGTGTTCACACCGCAATTATCATCAATGATTAGGCCACTATCAAAAATCCTTGATATCATTACGCAAAAAGAGCCTAAATTAATCTGAAAATACTAGCATGTTTCCAGCCACAAAGCAAGCCTTTGGCAAGCTAAATCATCCTGTGTCCTCCTTTAGAATAAAAGGAAGCTAAATCTTGGATCCACTTTTCCAACTGGCCCTCTGAATTCTTCCTGTGCTATGAGATTCCCAACAGAGAACAGTTCTGCCATGGTATTCTTAAGAGTACCAAGGGATGCAGTGTTTCCAAACCAATTAGATTACTACCAATTCTTAAATGTTCAGAATTGACTAGATCAAATGGATATGAACAGATTCTTTAATCCTGTAGTTAGCAACAATAATACAACTACAGCAATGACTAAAGACTGGTGAAGAAAAGCACTGGTAATGATACTAAAGGGAAAGAGAAAGAGGATACAGCAAACGATGGCTTTAGAAGTTCAGAAAGAGCAACATCACAAGAGGAACAAAGGTTTCTCACGCCATCTGAATCTACTTTGAGTCTATGGTCACAATGGAAACACTAACGTGTAAGTTATTCATAAAATATTACTGAAAGCAACACATATATCCCACAGGCAAACCAACTACTAATTTAAAAAAATAAGGAATACAACTGATGTCATTAAAAGTTCCGTTTAACATTTTCCCAGTGACAATCATGCTAATTTGAGATATTTCCACCTAAATTAATGAAAGCTCCGCAACGCAGAGGTGTTTAACAGCACTGGGTAAAGTGGCCATTCTAAATGGTATTATATGTTGAACTAAGAATGTATTAAACTTTAGTTGAGATTTTAATACTTCTAAGAGACATGTTTTTATATATGTATATTTCTAATAACATGCCAAATCAGTGAAATGGTACTACAGTTAAGATAAAACCTTCATATAGGCACTAAAGAATGTTACTTTCATTCATTCTTTAAAAGGATAGAGGCAAATATGTTCAGTTAAAATTTGTTTTTAAAAATTCTGAAACAATTAATTCCATAAGAAATAATGTAATATTTCAATTATTCGGCATTTTGTTGTTGCTGTTTCGCTTTCATAAGCTATTTCTCAGGGACCCTATCTGGATGAGATCGGTCACTCCCCACCGGGATCAATTCATCAACTGTAAATCTGTTAGGCAAAGAATTTAAAAAAAAAAAAAAAAGGTATTGTTTTGAGTTACTAAAGTACTGCTTTAGAACACAATCACCAAGCTCTCAGTCATCTATCCCTAACTTGCTTTAAATTTCAATCACTTTCAAAGTAAGTGCTCTAGATACATAAGTGCTATATATGTCATTTAAAACCCTTACCATACAATGTTATGAATATTGGTTCTGTCTCATCAAAAACATTTGTACACTGAATTCTGAAAAGGTAATATCTAAAAAGGAAAAGAAAATATAAACCTGTATTCATTATGACAACGTATCTGTTTATTTGGATGATTTGTATAGTTTTGAGCAATAATAGTTTATTTGAGCAAATAAACACAGGATAATTTAAAGGCAATTTATTCTTAGAGTACACTAAATCCCTAAAATAAAACACTTGAGAGGCAAACTGCAGTGAAAAAGAAAGTTTCATAGATTTTATTAGTAAAAGGCAAATTCTTATGGAGCCTCTAAAGGTAAGTATTAAAAATGCCAGTCTCGAGAGGAAAACAGAAAAGTGATTTTGGTTGTCATTTTGCAGAGCTATTAAGAATACTCACTGCTAAATCACAACTTTAATCAGAAGCCAAAGACACCAATTCTTCTCTCAGAAGACTTTCAAAAGTTTTCAATTTTCCAAATTCACGTGAAGTTTAGTTCTCTTATTACTGATGCTCTACTCCATCTCTATCCATTAACGCTGCCTAGAATATGACATCACACCACAGTATTTTGTAAATTCAGTCTATGGTTTTACTTCCTGAAGTGTACACTAATGCTAATAAATTAGGTTCTAGGCTTTGCATAACATTTACAAATAGAACCATAAAAGAAAGCACTATTCATACATTCTTAAGAATGGGAAACAACCCTATGGAGGCCATATAGTTCTAACAAATTTTCAATATTCTCTAACTTCATCACAGATTTTCAATTTACCTTTACCAAGATATATGAGTGCTATTGACTGTATTTACATAAACTTATTAAAATAACAATTTAATTTGTATATTGTGCAGTTTTATGATTTAAACTTTAAGTGGAAATGTTTAACTTGTTAAAAATCAATATTCTGATGAAAGGAAAGTAAAAGAACATTAGAAATAATTCCAGGGTATTCTTCTAGCAAACTTATTTTAAAGCCCTATGGCACAACTCTTTTGTGTGATACATTGGATTTTTTTTCCAGTAAGAATCACCTTTTTCCCCCAATGCCTTAAATAAGTACAGACAAATTTAAGTCTTAAAAAGGATTGTAAATAGCTTATTAAAATAAAATGTCATCTGAGCAATTTTCTTAATGTGATCTACACAGTATAAAATATTAGCAGTCAGTAAATACTAAGTTTTCTGAATTGCTTGCCTTTTTACCAATTACTTTTTGACGGAGCATTAGTCAATTATGTATTAACCAAATTTTTCTACTAGAGAAACCCAGAACCACTCTTATACCTTCTACAAACCTAAATATTTCTGCTCCTTCCTTTCCTGCATAAGGCATTAAATCTCCAAATTATAGTCTTATCAACTTTCTTAATAATCACTATTCTTCACTATTATGTTACTTGCCACATTTTTATTTGGAGAATAAATACTATTCAAGCATAAAGCATAAAGTTGTCTGGCCTATCTTCTCACTCAAACTATATTATGCTCCTAATGCTGATTATTTTATAAACACTTTATCCCAGTTACCCAATTGGTAGGTTTGATGTATCAAGTTCCATTTAATAGGGCTTGATAAGCTTCAGGGTAAAGTTAAACATGCTGATCATTATGTTCTATACTCTACATCCTCTAAAACCTTTAAAGTTTACCAACATCCTTCTTCTCTCTAGAATAGTAAATATCCTATCATAGAACCCAGAGAAACTGCTTGGCTTTAAAGAATACAGTTTCTGAGCACTTGTCAGAGAAGCTGTTCGTAACTTCCAGACGCCCGCTGGACTATCACTTTGGTTAAATTAATCATGGGTCATCTTCTGCCTCTTTAAACTTTTTAGTCTTACAATTATTGTAGGAAACCTACAGATCTACTTTAGAACTAAGTGAAATAATAATTTAAAAAATCATTATTTTAGCTCCATTACTTTTCGCAAAGAAATCATTTCAGGGTCCTTATATCATAACTTTTACTTAAACCACAACCCATCAGTTGTACATAACACCGGAAGGCTTTAAAAAGGATACAATTCTGCACTTAACCTTACAAAGCACGTTTCCAAGTTCTCAATTACGAGAACGTTCTACCAAAAAAAAAAAAAAAAAAAAGGTGCTGGTGCAGTCTATCAGAACTGTGTTGCCAGCTGCAAGCCCCGAGTATGCTGCACTTTGCAAATTTTAGGTATAATTTCTGGTTACCTGCTGCGGTTTCTGCACCCATTGTCACCCAGTGATGCTCCCACCAGCAAACACTTTCCATCACTTAAAACGGCCTCCTTCCACCCCGCAAAAAAAATGCACAGTAAACTTAGGCATTTCTGCATACAAACACGGAACCACTAATATCACTAGGTATTACGGCTCTCAAAGAATCGTCTTTAGCAGCCTCCCCTGGGACGTTGTGCTCAGCGGGGCTTTGAACCGGTGAGACTCGCTGCCAGCTGCCTTTGCAAAGGCAGCACCAGAGGTAGACTCAATACCGCAATGCTGCTGCTGACTTTTTTCCAGCAGCTTCAAAAAAAAAAAAAAAAAAAAAAAATCAGCCCAGTCCCCTGCAGACCCTGCTGGCTCTTCTGCAGCACGAAAGAGAAACCACCGCATTGCTCAGCTTGGAAGATGTGAGAGCCCGACTGAAGGGAGGGGAACCAGTGCCGTCGAGAGGCTCGGCGAGGGTGGGGTGTTGGGGTGAAAAGGGAAGATGTCCGGAGTGCAGGGAACCGCGACGGAACAGCAGCCAGGGCTCCGCATCACGCCCGGCCGGGGTCGTGGAATAGCGGACGTCCGGCGGAGATGCTGGCCTCTGCACGGGATGGCGGGGTCCCACCGCGGCCGGCTGAGCCCCGCCCGCCGCCCCCCGGCCCCTCACCTGTCGTGAGCGCTGGGCTATCGCCGGCCGCCGCGGCGGGAGAAGAGGCGGCAGTTGTGGAAGAGCCTGTCGCCCGCCGCCCGCGGAGGTGCCGGGGTACAAGCTCGCATCCGTCCGCCGCTCCGGCTACCAGCAGCCCGAGCACCAGCAACGCAGCCCAGCGCCGCCGCCGCAGCCAGCCCCAGGCTGGGCCGGGAGTCGAGGCGGGATGAGGGCGCCGAGGAGGAGCCGGGTGAAAGCGCAGCTGCGCCCCGGCCGCTCGCCGCTCGCCCGCTCCCCGAAGCGCCGCCACCGCCGCCGGCAACTCCTCCGGCCGCCCCCGCCGCCTCAGTCGCGGACTCCCGCCGGGCACCAGCCTGGTCCCGTCGGCACCGGCGGCCTCCGGAGCTCTGATCCCGGCTGCGTTCATTGGTTCCGGTTATTTAAAAAAAAAAAAAAAGTGGGGGGTAGAAAGGTACGGCGTCTTCAGGCGGTGCACGACACCCGCGCTGCTGCTGCGGCGAGACCGGGATCCGCTGCTCTGGCGCCGCCAAACACCAGCCCCAGCGCCCGCGCCGCCGCCGCCGCCACCGCCGCCGCCGCCGCGGCGCATCCCCCCGCCCCCTCCGGCCGGCGCTGGTCGTAGTACCACGCTCCGCCGGGACGCCTCCCTCCCCTCGCACATTCGCTCGCATACCAATCCCCCGCCTCCCTCAGGCCCTCCACGGCGCAGGCGCGGCGCCGCTGTACAGCGCGTGCGCGGCACCCCAGCCCCGCCCCGGAGGCGTTCCCGGACCAACGGTAGTACTGCGGGGCGGTTACTAACGCTTTAGCGAGCCGCGAAGATAGGGGGCGGGGAAGAAGGAGGACGTGTACCCCTCCCTCATTCGCTGCATCACCGCGAGGGAGAGTTGGGGGCTACAAGGGGGCGGAGAGAAGAGTCCAGACGTCCCACATCCTGAGGGCGGGTTACAGCCTCGTGGAGGGCAGCAAAAGTAATTGCATGGGTCAGGAAAATCTCGAAGTCGGAAAACAGTAGCGTCCCAGTAATTTCAGTATAGGTGGGGCTTACAAGTGGCTGGCTATTTAGACGCGGTTAGCATAGGTTAGCGCTTTATTTACTTGCCAAACATTTCACAAAGCGCGTGCTATGTGTGAGGGTACCAGGCATTGTTCTAACCGCTTTGCACATTTACATGCTATAACTCCAAAATTATCGTTATCCCCATTTTACGAATGAGGAGACGAAGGCCCAGAAATTTGAACTAAGTTGTCCCCAGTGTCCCACAGCTAATTCATGGGAAATGAGCCAGATTTAGCAGCCACTGAAAGGGCCTATTTAAGAGAATTTACTCTAGCTTCTGACTCTCCTAGGTACAGACATTTACGTGAACTCATCACCTTCCCACCCCCATCCCATCCCATCGACTCTGTGCCGTATCCTGAACCGGCTGACAGAACAATGGTGCAGACTTGTTTTCGCCAACCTGGAATGAAGCAAAGTTCTTGGGCACCCAAGGTCTGCTCTCTGTTGTAAATCCTGTTCAGACCTGGTCTATTGGTTTGGATAAAGAAAGAACCGGAATCTTTCTCATCCAAACCAGTTGCCAGCATATTTTTAAGGCCACCTCCCTTCAAATTTAAAAGGAAGTGTTGAATGTAATGTCACTATAAATTAAAAGCTCTGGAAATTCACACATAAGGAGACATTCTCTCTCCCGGGGCACAAAATTGTTTAAAATTTGCAGATAGGGTTATTAACCACGAAGATCCTTTTGCTATTAGGTTCTGTTGGTTTGATTCTGTTTATTGGTTTGTTTGTTTGCTTTCTCAAGCCAAGAAGATACTCAAATTACATTCTCCTAAAGTATTTCTTAGGCAGCCTGACCAAGATAACCACAAATACCGTTTATTGTAGATGGGCAGATGCACACTTTAGAAAAGAATTCAGGATGTCTTTGAGGCTAAGTCAATCTATCAACAATTATTTCTCAGCAGACTTCTTGTGGGCATAGTGTTCAGGTGGCAATTCTTTATAGGGCAAAACAGGGAGATTATCTTTCCCCTGCTGAAAGGCACAGCGATGAAGTCACACCAGAGTGCTGAGTGCCCACCAGAGAAGATAATTCTGCTAGGGGACCAGAACAATGTAAATAACAAGCTTGTTCCTGCTCTCCAGGAGGACTCATTTCATTTATTAAATGTTTACTGAGTACCTAGTATGCCAGGCAGGGTACTCAGTGGTGAGGGTTCAGCAAGAGAGACACTTGAAAAAGGCAATTAAGTCAGCAGTCAGGGCTATGAGATAAACAGCACAGTCCCATGACTAAGGCATCTTACAATCTTTTTAAGGAGATAAAATTTACACCCATTAAACAATTAGAGGCTAATACAAGGTAGTAATCAGTTGCTAAATGGTGTAGTGCAAACTGTGTTATAGCAATAACCGTACAAAAACACAACAAATTAACAAATCACAGGGGCCAGGCTTCTTTAAACAAAGATGATTTCGTATTCTTTTTCTTCTTTTAAACATAGGGTGTTGACATTGAGAGTGTGTTGGATTGGAGTTAGAAGTGTTTATTCCTCTCACTACTGGAACCAGAAAGGAACTAAGGATCCGGCAAGCACTAAAAAGACCAAGGTCAGGCAGGCCAGGGGCCAGGAATAAACCCTCCACCGCAGATCATCTTTGCCACAGGTATATAAGTTTCCAGCTGTTAAATGACTGGCCGGAATGCACCTCGCTAAACAGAGGTACGTGTCACTGTGCATCATAGCATAAACCCTAAGAACAGAAAGGAGAAAATTCATTTCTTTGAAAGAAAACCCCAACCCTAGAATTATAGATGCTTCTATTTGCAAGCCAAACACAAACACAAGACTCCAAATGAGGCAATCGCTTTCTCCCCATGTTTCCTTTCCCACCTCCACGCTTTTGTTTTCCCTTTCCTTCACTTTCCTTCCCCTTGTTCTCACCAGCGGAAAGCTTTCTCTCCTTCCCTGTCGCCAAATCCCATTCAAAATCTACCCTGAGTTCCTTTTCCTTGGCACCTACCCGACTCCTACAGCCAGCCTATACCTCTCAATGTCCAAACCTCATGATATGCTTTTTTTTAACAGAACGTCTTCACTGTCCCATTTTCCCCAAATCATGACTTCAAACACCTGATGGGCAGCACTGAGCTCTAGAATCAGGCAAACCTGAAAAAAATAGCAATTCCACCACTTTTCAGCTTTGTTACGTGCAGACCGGTTAATCTGTCCTCAGTTTCCCCACTTTTAAATTGGGGATCCAACCATGCCCGCCCCACAAGGTTGTTAGCGGCGGCGGGAGAATAAAAGAACAAGGAAAGCCCTTCCGCGGAGCCCGGCACACAGGTGCGTTGCCATCCCTCGGGGAAAACTGGCTCTGGGCGTGCATTCTAAGCGTGTTCTTGGCTTAGGATAAACGCATCGCACTTTGTATGCCAATGTTGTTTGACTGCATCTTCTTGCAAATCCCAAACTACTGGGACGCGCCCTGCACAGACGCACAGCAGGATCCCTGCACTGCCTCCTCCTCATCCCAGAGGCAAGCCTGCCCTTCCCACGAGTCGGGCTCCCTATCTCCCTCTTCTTCCCTCGCTCCCGCACAGCCTACAGCCGGCCGCCAGCTCTGACTAGAAGAACCAGTTCCCGACTGGCGGGCGCGGCAGGGCGCCTGCGCCACCGCAGCCCTGCGCATGCCCGCTGCCTGCCGCCGGCTTCCCCCAGGTGCGCGAGTTCTCAGGCTCGTGGGTTCCGGGACGCCGCGCGCCGCGGCATGCCCGGCTTCCGGCTCCCACTATCTGGGCTGGGCGCCCGGCTGCCGCGAGATGACGTCACCGCGTGGGCGGGCGCGGCGTACTGTCAGTGGAGAGGGCGGTGGGCGTGGGGCGGGAGTAGGGGTGGAGGCGCAGAAGTGGGGAATTCCGGCGCCTGGCCCTCCCACTGATCGTCTCTTTCCCGCCTTAGACTTCCTCGCATGGCCCTGGAATGTTGGGACTGACCCAGCAGGGTGGTCCAGTCTGTTTCGATTGCTCTTGATGGTGAAGCCCCTCGGAGAGCTGCCTTTGGTGGAAACCCTGTTAGGTACCAAGTTTTCCCGCTGACCGTCCACGGACGCTAACAAGAGACTCGAGGTGCTGAGAACTTTGGAAACACCTCTAAAGTGATATAGACAATGTGATGGCTCCATTCCATCAATGAAGCCCTAGCATAAAAATGGGGTCCTCAAATTGTTTGATAAAGCACTAGGAATAGAAGTGACACCGTGGAAGTAACTTATTAGCAAGACCCTTGCTCCCTAAACCCAATAAAGCATGAGGTAGTCCTCAGGTGGTGTAGTGATGGTGGAAAAATTTATTGCTGCTTTCTCTGGGAGCAGAGGAAGGAAGTCTTTGTAAATGTCTTGCATCCAGGGTAGGAATTCAAAAAGTGTAGATTTAACTTAGCTAACATAGTTTTTTAAAAGTCACTCAACAGAAGCAAGTCAACTTTGCCCGCTAAAGCCCAGTGCAGTCAGAGGGCATGTGGGGGTGAGTCGTTTATATTATTAAATAGGGTATGTTTGCTCTATACTGCTTAATTTGAGGTGTTACATGAATATTATTGATCACATGATAACTGACAGGTGCTAAAGCAGTAGGAATGTTGACATTTTCCATAAAAAGAGGACTAGAATTGTGATGGAGCTAAAGTAAAGATCATCACAATTGAAAATGGTGAGAAAATGATGGTTATCAAAAAGATGAATAAGTGTTGATGAGGATGTGGAGAAAAGGAAACCCTGGTATACTGTTAGTGGAAATGTAAATTAGGATACCCATTCTGGAAAGTGGTATGGAGGTTTCTAAAAAACTAGGAATAGAATTATCGTATGATCCAGCAACCCCACTTCTGAGTATATATCCAAAGGAATTGAAATCAGTATGTCAATGAGATATCTGCACTACCATGTTCATTTCAGCATTATTTACAATAGCCAAGATATGGAAGCAACCCAAATGTCCATCAACAGATGAATGGATAAGGAAAATAGGGTATATACACACAGTGGAATAGTATAGAGCCTTAAAAAAGAAGGAAATTCTTCATTCACTGCAACATAGATGGAACTGGAGGACATTGTGCTAAGTGAAATAAGCCAGGCACAGAACAACAAATACTGTATGACCCCACATGTGTGGAATCTAAAAAAAAAGTTCATCTCATAGAAACAGTATAAAGATGATTACCGGAGGCTGGTAAGTGGGAATCGGGGGAGGGGACTGGGGAAAGGGAAGATGCTGACCAAAAGGTACAAGGTTACTGTTAGACTGGAGGACTATGTTTTAGTGACCTATTGTACTTCACAGTAGCCACAGTTAACAATATCTATTTCAAAATTGCTAAAAAGATAGATTTTTAACATTCTCACTACAAAAAAGGTTAAGTCGGTGAGATAATAGATATATTAGCTCAGTTGAATTGTTCTACAGTGTACATACAGCTCAAAACATTGTACCCCATAAATATACACAATTAATATTTGTCAATTAAAAATTCATTTTAAAAATATAGTGTCTGTGAGTTGTGAGGCAGGAAGCTGCCAGTGGGTTCCCTACAGCACTTTAAGAGATTATCTAAAAAGGAATTACCTACTTTCAATCTTAAAGTATACAAAACACCTA